AAACATCTGTGAAGTGAAGACCTGGCGAAGTGCAGTGGCATGCCAGCCTTGCTGGAGGAGTCCGTAAGTGCAAATCGCCTGCGTGGGCTTGGTCACCTCACAAGGATGGACGACACCAGGTTGCCAAAGCAGATCCTGTTTGTGGAGGGCACCGTCACGGGGCTCCGCCATGGACCCAAGCATCGTTGGAGAGATGTGGAAGTTTCAGACCTGCGTGCGACCGGCATCCCGGAGCCGCAATGGTACCATCTTGCTCTAGACCGAAGGGATTGGCGTGAGCTTAGCGGTCAGAAGCCACCAAGCCAGACCCAACCAAATTGTTCGTCTGTGTCTGCGGCCGCGATTTTCGCCTTCCGAATGATTTATCCCAACACAAGAACTGTTGCCTCGTCTAATAGCTGTCATCGCCTTCGGCGATGGGCTTTCCAAAGTTGTACGTGTGTGCGTGTGTGTATGTGTGTGTGTGTGTGTGTGTGTGTGCGTGTGTGTGTGTGTGTGTGTGTGTGTGTGTGTGTGTGTGTGTGTGTGTGTGTGTGTGTGTGCATGGAGACGTGTCTACGCATTGATGGTCAGCTGTTGGACCCGCTAGAGGTACGGAATGACCTGCGCCAGGGCTGCTCCATGACACCGATTCTTTTCAACCTGTACATGGCTGCTGTCTTTCATACCTGGAAGCAGCGGATGGAAGGCGTGGATGGCTTCCGTGTCGATATCCGCTGCAACATCAGTGGTCAGCCAATGCAGAAGCCTCGTCGCACAGCAGTGTCAGACACCGTAACTGAATGTCAGTTTGCGGATGACTCCACACTGTTTGCGACATCTGGATCCGGGCTCAAGCTAGCTGCAGTGACATTCGATGAAGTCGCCTCCGAGTTTGGACTGACAGTCTCTCCAAGACCAAGTTCATGGTGATCGGCAGAGACATTTCTGATGCGGACCTCGCCCCTGTTTGTGTTGGTTCGAACCAGATCGAGTGCATAACGGAGTTTCGCTACCTTGGGTCGATCATCGATACGTCTGGCCGGTGTTCGATTTACATTTCCTCCAGAATTGCGGCTGCCTCCCGTGCGTTTGGCTCCCTGAGGAAGCCAGTTTCCAGCAACCACCATCTGTCTGTCCGCACCAAGAAGAACATCTTCAATGCGTGCGTTGTCACCATCCTGCTGTACGGAGCTGAGTGCTGGGTACCCCTCCAAGCCGACATCCAGAGGCTCTCCAAGTTCTACATGCAGAGTGTGCGTACCGTTCTTGGCATAACAAGGTTAGACGCCTGGCAAGAGCGGACTAGCAATGATCAGTTGCTGGACACGTGGGGCGACAAGCGCCTACTTGCTGTCCGGATTCACCAGCGACAACTTGAGTGGCTGGGTCATGTTGCTCGCATGCCACCAGAGCGCATCCCGAAGATTCTGTTGTTCGGTCTGCTCCCATCCCGCTGTCCACCTGGCGGTCCACGCAAACGCTGGAAACACTGCATTAGTGCAGACCTGAAGGCCCTGAATGCTGTGGAGGGATGGTACGATCTGGCAGATTCTCGCTCCGACTGGCGCCGCATGTACCGCTGTTTCGAGCCCGAGCCGCCCACACCAATGTCCATTGCCAAGTATGTGATCGGTACTTCTCTCGCCCATCAGATGAGAAGCGTCACAAATGCTAGGCAGAACGGCAGAAACCGGTGTGTAATCAGGCTGGCGCTTGCCAATGTCGTCTCTGCCAACGTTGGTGCTGCAGCCCCGGTGGATTGGCTACCCATTGGTGCAATTACGGACCTGCTCCCAACATCGAGCACCCCGGCAACCCAGTCACTCTGCAGTGCAGCACCAGTCACCGGAGTTTCAAGTCCAGCAGCGGCTTGGCCAGACACAAGTGCGACCGCACGAAACGAAGGACAGTGTCGGAAAGGGCCGACTTCCCGTTTGAGTGCCCTTGCCAAAGGAACCTCCGACTACGTCACCATCTAGCTCGCCATCAGGAATGCTGCTCCTCAGCCTCTTCCTGATGGAGACCGTGTAACCTATCACGGCAACGTGTATCAAGGTCAAGGTCAAGGTGTGTGTGTGTGTGTGTGTGTGTGTGTGTGTTTGTGTGTGTGTGTGTGTGTGTGTTTGTGTGTGTGTGTTTGTGGGTGTGTGCAGCCATCCGTGTTGCAACCAGCACTGCGCTACCTGTGATCGCTGTTTTAAATCTGCTCCTGGCTTTCGGCGACACAATTGCAATCGTGGACGGCGTCATGGCGGAGCGGCTTCCTAGTGGCAGTGCTGACTTCTCTCGAACTCTCTCTTCTACTCTCCCCTGTCTCGGGTGAGGCGTGGCCAAGCATTTGGCAGCTGTACATCAGGCCAGGTGTGTGTGTGTGTGTGTGTGTGTGTGTGTGTGTGTGTGTGTGTGTGTGTGTGCCAAAGCATTTGGAAGTTGGACTAGTTTCGGCTCCACAATCCAGTGTGTCGTTACTATAATTATAGCTTTCATGGCTGAGGTTGTTGGTATGTCTGTTGGCTCTGGGTTCCCAGTACTCAGTAGCCGAGGCTGGTTGGTAAAGTAACTCCAATTTCACTTCAAGGTACCAGTGTATCTAGTGTCTGCTTCTATCAAAGCAATGTGCTGTCTATACTGGTCACCCCAGCAAGTGTAGGGTGTGCATAGGTAACTGTCTTGGCCGTTTTATGCCAATGTACTCCATGTGGTGTAGACCAGGTGGGCATTGGTAGTCGATTCACATGGCTTCGCCAGTTGTGTGGATTAGACAGTTACCTGGCGCAAGTCTTGATCTGTTTCATTCAGATCTTGTTTGCTATCGTTGCTAAAAGAGGAAATCTGTGGGTGCACATCCAGCGCATTTGAAGATTTGCGTGCTTTTCTTGCGATGGGCGTCACGCCGTGGTACATGGTGTGTGTGTGTGCGTGTGCGTGAGCATGTATGTGTGTTTGTGGGTGTGTGTGTGTGTGTGTGTGCATGTGTGTGTATGTGTGTGTGTGCCGATGTGTGTGTGTGTGTGTGCGTACGTGCGTGCGTGCGTGCGTGTGTGTATGTGTGTGTGTGTGTGTGTGTGTGTGTGTGTGTGTGTGTGTGTGTGTGTGTGTGTGTGTGTGTGTGTGTGTGTGTGTGTGAGTGCATTATGCATTGGGATGACTGCTGCTGGGAGAATGCTGTTAATGTATTGTGTGCCTTCACCTCAACTTTCCTACCCATTCTACACAAGACAGGACTATGCTGTCATCTTTATTTTCTCATTTGCTCTTAGGGTAGTGGTTCCCCTCAATTCTTTCTATTTTCGTATTTTTCTGTTATAGACTACAGTGTATGTATGCATGCATAGTCTATATCATGCTATCATACATGTACATGTACTTCAACATACATGTACCTCTAAGTACAATACTCATTAGTTATGTGAACAGCAGTACAGCAATAAGTCAAGGTGTAAATAATACACAGATCCACACACTCCAGTAGACCTTGCACCTTTCTCACACCAGCTCTTGAGTTACGAAAATTAAGCGGATATTCAAAACCATTGATTGGCAATTACAACTATTCATGAGAAATGTATGTAGTACTGTATATATACTGTTAAAGCAGAATTTTTCGGTGTGCAATATTTTCGGTATTCGCCAAAATCGGCGGTTCGGTGGAGGAAAATTTCCGTAAAACCCGTTTTCCAGGTAAGTGTTCTAGTACGACATGTATACAGAATCGGTTCTACAGAAAATTTCGGTGGTTTCTTTTGGGTAAAAATTGTCCGCACCGAAGTTACCGCAAATAGAACACATCACCGAAAAATCAGCTTTAACAGTACACAGTAAAGGTGGTGTAGTGGTTATGAACAGTGTTTAGTCATAACGTGTACTGATAAGACTAGTGGTTATGAACAGTGTTTAGTCGTAACGTGTCCTGATAAGATTAGTGGTTATGAACAGTGTTTAGTCGTAACGTGTCCTGATAAGACTAGTGGTTATAAACAGTGTTTAGTCGTAACGTGTCCGGATAAAACTAGTGGTTATGAACAGTGTTTAGTCGTAACGTGTCCTGATAAGACTAGTTGTTATGAACAGTGTTTAGTCGTAACGTGTCCTGATAAGACTAGTGGTTATGAACAGTGTTTAGTCGTAACGTGTCCTGATAAGACTAGTGGTTATGAACAGTGTTTAGTCGTAACGTGTCCTGATAAGACTAGTGGTTATGAACAGTGTTTAGTCGTAACGTGTCCTGATAAGACTAGTGGTTATGAACAGTGTTTAGTCGTAATGTGTCCTGATAAGACTAGTGGTTATGAACAGTGTTTAGTCGTAACGTGTCCTGATAAGACTAGTGGTTATGAACAGTGTTTAGTCGTAACGTGTCCTGATAAGACTAGTGGTTATGAACAGTGTTTAGTCATAACGTGTCCTGATAAGACTAGTGGTGATGAACAGTGTTTAGTGGTAACGTGTCCTGATAAGACTAGTGGTTATGAACAGTGTTTAGTCATAACGTGTCCTGATAAGACTAGTGGTTATGAACAGTGTTTAGTCGTAACGTGTCCTGATAAGACTAGTGGTTATGAACAGTGTTTAGTCGTAACGTGTCCTGATAAGACTAGTGGTTATGAACAGTGTTCAGTCGTAACGTGTCCTGATAAGACTAGTGGTTATGAACAGTGTTTAGTCATAACGTGTCCTGATAAGACTAGTGGTTATGAACAGTGTTTAGTCGTTAAGTGTCCTGATAAGACTAGTGGTTATGAACAGTGTTTAGTCATAACGTGTCCTGATAAGACTAGTGGTTATGAACAGTGTTTAGTCGTAACGTGTCCTGATAATACTAGTGGTTATGAACAGTGTTTAGTCGTAACGTGTCCTGATAAGACTAGTGGTTATGAACAGTGTTTAGTCATAACGTGTCCTGATAAGACTAGTGGTTATGAACAGTGTTTAGTCGTAACGTGTCCTGATAAGACTAGTGGTTATGAACAGTGTTTAGTCATAACGTGTCCTGATAAGACTAGTGGTTATGAACAGTGTTTAGTCATAACGTATCCTGATAAGACTAGTGGTTATGAACAGTGTTTAGTCGACCGCCTTACCTTGCGCGCCCATGGTGCTCGCACTGCAGCCACCACCCGTGGCCAAGTCTCTGCTGCTCTTGTTCTGCCCCCCGCTAACACCCGATATGGCTTTAGTGCAATTTCTTACTTGGGCTCTGCCAGGTGGAATACACTTCCACCGGCTTGCCGCATGTCTAGTTCACCAGCTGAATTTCGCTCATCCATCAAATTATACCTAGGGTTCCCTGTAAAAGGGCGCTGCCGCCTGTTTGGAATTCCCTAGTAAAAGAAGAATAAATAATAATAATAATAATAATAATAATAAATAAGTCGTAACGTGTCCTGATAAGACTAGTGGTTATGAACAGTGTTTAGTCATAACGTGTCCTGATAAGACTAGTGGTTATAAACAGTGTTTAGTCGTAACGTGTCCTGATAAGACTAGTGGTTATGAACAGTGTTTAGTCATAACGTGTCCTGATAAGACTAGTGGTTATGAACAGTGTTTAGTCGTAACGTGTCCTGATAAGACTAGTGGTTATGAACAGTGTTTAGTCGTAACGGGTCCTGATAAGACTAGAGGTTATGAACAGTGTTTAGTCGTAACGTGTCCTGATAAGACTAGTGGTTATGAACAGTGTTTAGTCGTAACGTGTCCTGATAAGACTAGTGGTTATGAACAGTGTTTAGTCATAACGTGTCCTGATAAGACTAGTTGTTATGAACAGTGTTTAGTCGTAACGTGTCCTGATAAGACTAGTGGTTATGAACAGTGTTTAGTCGTAACGTGTCCTGATAAGACTAGTCATACTGTCATACAAGGTTTAACACAAGACCAGTCAGTACAATAAATCCCAGTGTTTACCTAAAATACGCCCGGGTTTACTGAAGTATACGCTAGAGTTTGCTTGTGTGTATGGTGTTTTGCACACAGGACATCACAGCGATAGCAAGGAAGTGCCTTGGAATGACACTACACATGCAATTGCAACTCCCATAACCTATATTGAGCCATGTCGAGTCATCAAGATACCGCCCCCAGGATTGCGGCTTAGGTCTCTAAACATCGTGCAACTATCAAACCTACTAGGCGCGCGCGCTCACACACACACACACACGTACATATACAACGGCATGCAGTGGTGATCTCGTACTCTCCTGTAAACCGCCTAGCTTCAGTTCAAACTTGAACTTAGCATACTCTGAGAGCAGAAAGACTATTTGGAATATCTGAGAGTTTAAATTTCATCAGGAATAATCTTTCCATGTACAAAACACCAAGGCTGAGGCAACAGCATTTGTGTCATGTGTACGGAAACAAGAAAAATCCAAGAAACAAATACAAAGAACGGCACGGTCAATTATTGTACACGATATTCAGCCAGCGCTGCATAATAAGAAATTTAGTTAGAGGGAAAAGTAATAAAACTGGCTCAGTTCACAGTGCAGGCTGGTGGAGGACAACGATCAGCTATGATGTAATTAAATTGCTTACAAGACGACAATAAAAATTATTCACAAAATTTACTTGTAGTTGTAAAGAGCATGGCGAATAGAATGTATGGATCACATCCAGCAGATATTGCAAGAACCAAGAAACAAATTATCAACAATAAGTCCGTTTACTAATTTCCTAAAATGCCATGCATCTAAACACAGACGTGCTCGCACGCACACACACACACACACACACACACACACACACACACACACACGAGTGGTAGACGTCACCCGTTGTGGCTATGCAGACTAGGCTTGCCCGTCACAGCTGCTGTCACACTTCTTCAGTCTTCATGACAATTGTTCATGGAGACAAAACACAAGAGACGAGAACACAACAGCATTCAGTTAATTTCAGCAAGTGAAAGAACAACAGGAATTACCACATTATGGTGAAAAAAAGACAGCAAAATGTTACGAGTTATGACTAACTGTTCCAAGTGAATACCACATTTTAATACTTTGAAAAATCAATCTTGATCACAGGATGAAAAAAGCAGTGTTGACGACTATGATGACAGCGATGACGACAATGCCAAGAACAACATCGTTTGAGATGTGTTCCCTGTTGAAAGTCAATTATAATCACTCAACAGTTTATCCCTTACCAACGTCTAATGACAACACTAGCTTCTCAATTTTCTTCTTTGCCTGGACACATAACAAAACACATAGTCAGTTCAGTGAGTGCACAGGGTTGACAGCCTACACTATCGACTACACTGCTGACTACACTGCCCACTGTTATCTGATAGCCAACAACTGAATGAGGGGAATCAACAGAATGGTTTGCCATATCCACACACATCGCTGACAAAGACACCGACACAGATCTGAACGTTAACATACGTGTACGCACACACTAGCAATAGAGAGAACAAGATACACACGACAAGAAATTGGATAACGACAAAAATGAGAGTTTCTCGTTGGAGGAAACTGTAGCTATCACCAACACTCACATACCCCCATACCC